TCTAAATAATTTGCATGAGTTAGTCCAACTTGTTTGGCTATAACTGAAAATGCATGGAAGATAAATAAAATCAGTCTAAATAATTTGCATGAGTTCGTCCAACTTGTTCAGTCAGTCAATCACAGTTATTCTTGTATCTGCACTACAATTGGTCTAAAACAAAGACAATTATGAAGTGATATTGAAATATACAGGTGGTAGAATAAATTAAAACGGATCATGTTTTGGAGGTGGTCCAGCTTTTTTGGGGGTGTCAGCTTTTTCCGGGGTTAACTGTACTTATGACCCCGAATTGATTCCAAGACCGTAAAATGATATTTTGATCGCTTTACACATTATTGTACCACGAGGTTGACCTCCATGGTACCGGTACCATGAAATTGTACGTAATGTTACATCCCGAGGGAAGTCACGTTGGACCGATTGCTCATCGATCTGCTGTAGTTGTTTACCAAACACACACACCCATGCATGATGCATGCGTCTCTCAACGATACAATGGGTCGATCGTTGCAAGCGTCGTCGATGTTGATACAGCTCGCTTTCCACTGTTTACCACTCCAAAGCAGAGGCGGAGCACAGATAAAACAGCTGAATATCCGTACGTGTGGTACATAACACGATTTCGACCAATCGCGGGGTTTCCCGTAGTCGGTGGAAATGGGTTTTTCCCGTGGGGAAGACAGTTAGGTCAGCGTCGACGGGACCGTATTTCGCAGCCTCCGGAGGTGTCATAGATCTATGATGCAGGCCCAACTCGCCTTGCTGGAAGCACATAACGCGATGAAAGCACGTGCTGGAAGGAAGCACGCACAGGGTTTCTCTGTCCACTCTTTCTGACGAACTCCATGTTCCGATAATGCCCCGACATCTCACGTCAAAGATGGGAAGAATCCGAATTTTCCACCAGTGGGCCGGGAGGTAGTTTGCACTTGAGTTTTGTATGGTGGCCCACCCAACCAGAGGACCTACAGCCGTGCGCGATCGCCACCTGCTGGCCTGGTACGATGGCATGGATAAAAGCACAAACGAATGCTCATGGCGTTTGGCGTGAAGCACACAGTACTCGCCGTGATCGTGTCAGCCGCCGCGATCGTGTTATCCTCGGGCGAGGCGGCAAAAGAGCCCGACACCGTGCCGGATTGTGACATCTTGTACAACATTGGCTTCCTGCTCTACGCCGACGTGATGCGCAACCACCAAGATGCGATTGACAGGTGCCTCGGGTACAGCAACTTCGCCAACGCAATCCTTGACGGCCGACCCCCGAACCGGGAGGAACTGACCAAGTTCTTCAAGAGCGACGACTGCCGTCAAGTCACGAATCTCATGCTTGCTAAGGTCAAGGAGAATGGCGACAAGTGCACGCTTGGAGCGTACAAGATCGAGTTGGGACAGTTGGCATCGTTGTCATTCGACGACCTTGCCGCCGTCTACGCTCCTTTCCTTGGCCCTTCCACCGAGGACGCCAGGTTAGTGTAATCCGTCTATAAGTGTACTTCGTGTCGACATGCCAAGCTCCATGTCGTCGTCCATGCCTCGTGCACCATCTTGGAAGTGGCGTATCGCCGTCAAGATACGGACGGTCAATTGCGCGTTGTGGCTTTAGAGTACTCTTGAGTGACCTAACGACGATATTTATCGGCAGCTTTGTCTCCACCATGGCACGGAACGGAATCGCGCTCCCGATTTTTTGACATTCCAAACGGCATGAGCATCCGACCGTGCCAATTGTAGACCACAAGACGATTTCAACAGTTCCTGCGCGACTCGTCGCCTTGTTCGGCCACGGCAATTCGCTGATACATGACACAGAACGCCGACAACTTGATAAACGACACTGCTAAAAACGCTCAGGTCTTGATTGAGGAAGTGGCGTCGACGAGGCATGGTGGCGCACTGCATGTTCGAATCGGTTGAGAAGAGGTCGCGATTGGCACTCAAGTAAAATAACTTGGCCACTTGAGCTTGTGTGAGTGCCAATTGGGCAGCAATTCGTGGATCGGGGCAAAGGACAACTTTGAACGCCGCACGTCGAACCACCATAGCAATGGATCAGGTCCGAGACTTGGCGAAGGGTGCACCGCGAGCACGGCGAGCGAGATCACTGGCCCACATGGCGCACGCAGTTCCTTCCGTGATCGTACCAGAACACCATGG